TCAAGAAAGCAGTACCGGGAGCAGAGGGCATCCTTTGGACCGGGGTCCCTGCGCGGAGAAGCTCCTAGTCCGGGGGAACACTGATGAGAAGGCCGACAGAGAGAAAAAGCCTTCCCCTGGAGCTGATGCCCTGAATTTGGACTTTTAGCCTACTTTGACTGTGAGGAAATAAATTTCTCTTCATTAAAACCATCCACTTCTCGTGTTTCTGTTATAGTAGCACTAGATGACTAAGACAGGGCTGTATTTATTTCACAAATGCAGTCAAGTCTTACTTATTTGTAGTGGATATGGAGGAAACCGCAAAAAGATGTTAACTGTAGATTTTTTTTTAAGAGGAAAAAAGAAAGAGTTTCCTTATTTTTATATATACAGCAGCGGGAGGGACATGCGGAGCAGTGACACGGATCAGAAATGCTGACCCAGCTATCCCCTTTCTGGGCCACTCTGCCTGCAATATTTTAAGCGTGTTATCCAATAGCTCTGCTATTCTGTAAAACGTGGGAAAAAAATGCCCTGCTTATGGCTTCAATGAGTTTATACGTATTGAGGCCAAAATTGCTAGAAGAAGCTTGTGGTTGTTGTTGTTGGTTGCCTCTAAGTCAGCTCCAACTCGTGGCGACCTTGCGTATAACAGAACAGAACATTGCCTGGACCTGTGCCACCTTTATGATGGTTGCTATGTGTGAGTCCATTCTTCCAGCCACTGTGTCAGTCTGTCTCACTGAGGGTCTCCCTTGCCTTCTTCGACTCTCAACTTTACCAAACATGATGTCTGTCCAAAGTAAGCAAGGCAAAGTTTTGCCATCCTTGCTTCTAAGGAGCATTAGGGTGGTATTTCTTCTAAGACCGATACGTCTGTTCTTCTGGCAGCTCACCATATATTTAACATTCTTCACCAACACCACTGTTCAAATGCATTACTTCTTCTGTCTGCATTTTTCATTGTCCAGCTTCCACATACCTGTGAGGTGACTTCAAAGACATATCATTATTTACAAATGTCCAAAGTGATAAGGACCCCTTTAACACACCAAAAAAAACCCAAACCAAACCCATTGCCGTCGAGTTGATTCCGACTCATAGTGACCCTATAACACACAGTAGTGGTAAATACAAATTCAACTTGATTCAAAATCATTTGTTCCCAGTGTTTAACACTTCCTGCACTTTTTTATTCTCTTAATTTACTTGCTTACTGCACGGAAATGCCAACCTAACCTTTGCTGAAATTGTCATGAATTTCAAAGGAATGTTTGGGAACAAGGTGGGCTTTAGTTTGGGAGGCCAGTAAATTTGGGCTGGGCCCCTGTCTTAGGCTGGGTTCTCTAGAGAAACAAAACCAGTAAAGCATATAAATATATATATATATATATAGATATATTTTTATCAAGGAAATTGTTCATGTGGTTGTAGAGGCTGGAGAGTCCCAAGTCTGCTGGGCAAGCTAGAGGCTTCTATGACTCATGTAGCTGTTGGCAGGTCAGATAGAAGGCCTCTGGCTCACAGGCTTTGGAGACTGATGAATCCCAAGATTGACAGGCAAGACAGCAGGTAAGCTGCTAGCTCAAGTCCCAAGAACCAGAGGTCAGACTAAAGGAGCCAGTTGCAGGAGCCAGAGTGAGCAAAAGCCCATGAGCCTTGCCGGAAAGTCCATCTGTATTGGATACAGGCCACACCCCCAAGGAAACTCCCTTTCAACTGATTGGCTACTCACAGCAGATTCCATCATGGAGGTGATCAGATTATATCAGAGCTCATCTTGTAGGTGATTACATCATTATATGATTGTCAAACTACATCATAACTGCCAAACCACAGCCCCGTACCCAAAGGCATGCTTCTGTAAGTTTTTGTCATGGTTGCCAGCATCTCAGCATAAGGGAAAGGACTACGCTGCCAGCGGGAACCGAGGGAGGAGAAAGAAGGCTTAGTGAGGGTAAGAGGTTTCTTTATTGGAGAAGGCTGTATGCAGAACACAGGACAAGGAAGGCCAAGAAATCACAGCCGATGTCTAGACCTCGTTAGTTTTACTGCCTGTGGAGATAAAGGGACCTGACTCCAGCTCCATCGCAGCTGTTTCGGGATCAAATGAGATGATGGATATGGAAATCCTACAAATATCAGTCTTAGGTAAATGTAGGTAAATGTTTAGTGGTCTTTTAAAATTTCATCTCTCCTCTGTCAAAAATTGCTTGTAATAATGATAAAACCAGTTGCTGATGAGTCGATTCCAACTCATGGTGACCCCACATGTGTCAGAGTAGAACTTTGCTCCATAGGGTTTTCAGTGGCTGATTTTTTTGGAATAGATCGCCAGGGCTTTCTTCTGAAGTGCCTGTGGGTGAACTCGAACCTCCAACCTTTTGGTCAGCAGCCGAACACATTAACCATGTGTGCCACCTAGGGATTCCTGTAATCATGATATGTTCCCCCAATTGTTATTTGACCACACCAAGTCCAATTTCTGACTCACTTATAAGGTCCTGGACTATCTTACCCTTCCCTCAATATCCCATATTATTTCTTTTCCACTCCAATCCATCCCCTAGTCCTGTTGGATTTCCTTCCAACTTTTCACTTAATGGTGTCCAGGATATGCTGGTCTCCACACTGTCCTGAACAACTCTGCCCCCTGCCTTTTCTCCTCTAGTTTTCATCACTGAGAGTAGCCTCCCTTCCCTCCTCTGTCCATCCAGATCTTAATTCAGAGTGTCCCCACAGTACCCAGCTCAAGGAGGAACACACTAATGGGTTCAATACATACTTCTTGACTGATTAGGAAGAGGAAAGGTAGAATAACATTTATCTAGAGGTAGAAGAACATTTATCATGTCACTGATGATGGATCAGCTGGTGACAGCAGCCTGTTAGAGATGAAAAGCTTTCTGAAATTTATTCCTTTGTTCTTCTTCCCTTTAGTTTGTTTTGCATGAAAATGAACAGTTTAAATTAATCTAGATTTTTGTTTTTTCGTAGGTCACTTATACTTATTCTCTTTTCTGTACAACATGGCTATGGGGTAAGTACATTAACTGACTCTGACTGCATGTTGAAAATTCACTTTACTGAATGTACTGTTGTTGTTAGATTTTTAAACAAGCGCCCTCTGGGACTCAGTTTTTGCATCTGTGAAATGAAGGGTTGGATAGATGAACTCTAAAGTGTCTTTTATATTTTACAGTGAAGATAGCTTACTGAATTGCCTAGATATTAGAGATTCCTGTATTTTATAACTAATAGGTCACAGAGTGACCCTTTCTTAAAAAAATACTTTTTTTTTTGGTGGAGAAATAGGAGGCAGCTGAGCTATTTCAAGATTAAATCAAGAAGTATAAGATTAAATTTGAACACTTTAACTCTGGAGAAAGATAAGCCTGGAACATTCCCTAATAAGCCCTCTTTCTTTTGCTTCCTCACTAAAGAATCTAAGTTGTTAAACACGGCCTCAGAAGTTTCTGGAAAATCCACTGTAGGTTGCTTGTAACTCAGGTTGGTCTTGAACTCCAGACACCAACTCCAGAGAACACAGCTCTATCTGTCCACCATTGTTAGCTTGGATCTGCTTAATCCCATTTCCGTCTCTAGTTATTATAGGTCTTTTCAAAGCAAGGGAAAATAAAAAGTTATCTTCTTTTCTCTTTTTCATACCATGTGGGAGCACAAAGCATGGGCTTCAGGAAATACCTGGGCAAATTCCTTAACTATCCAAGACTTGGTTTTCTCCTGTGTGAAGTAGGGTGAGAAGACTTGCCCAGCTTATTTCAGCTGATGCGTTGAGAGCATCACCTGAAGTAATAAACATAACCCCACTGTGAAATATGGGTTTTGTTTGTTTTTTTAAATTTTGGTGGTGAGGAGAAAACCAAGGCACTGGTTGCCCCCCCCCCCCCTTTCTAATACACTTTATTTTTTTGAGAACAGGTTTAGGTTCACAGAGAAATTATGCAGAAAGTACAGATGTGTGTATATTTTTTGTTTCTCTTACCTGCTTTTTCTAGGTTTATTTTTGTCTTATATTCTTTTTTCCATTGTGAAAGTGTGCAGAGTCCTAAATTTCACCCCCCTTGTTTCTTATATTTCGCGTATGTGACTATCATTCCTGAACTGGTAAGTGTTATATTGTAGACTTCCTACCATCCTATGTACAAAGAGATTTCTAGAGATTTCATCTGGAGAGTAGCTATACTATAAACCAGAAAACCAAACCCATTTCCATTGAGCCAATTCCAACTCATAGCGACCCTATAGGACGGAGTAGAACTGCCTCATAGAGTTTCCAAGGAGCGGCTGGTGGATTCGAACTGCCAACTTTTTGGTTAGCAGCCGAGCTCTTAACCACAGAGCTACCAGGGCTCAGCTATACTATGGTTGAGATTTAAAGGTAGAAACTACATTGATGTAATATATCTGGAAGGCAACTCAGCATTATCCATCAGAATTTTAAATGCACATACCCTTTGACACGGGCATTTCCCTTAAGAATGTATCATACAGATTTTCTTCGACTTACACACACAGATAAATGCCGAAGAATATTAACTGTAGGGTAGTATCAATAGTAGAAGAAGGGAGCTACCTAAATGTCCATCAATAAGAATAAGTAGACAAGTTACAGGACATCCTCTGACAGACATCCATGTCTATTAATTCAGAATGATTTTGAAGACATATGGTTAAGTGAAAACAGCAAGGTACGGAACAATATACCATCTGGGGAAAAATAAAACAAGGCCAAAAATCACAAAAAGGGTGTGTGTGTGTGTGTGTGTGTGTGTGTGTATGAGATGAAAATATGCTTATGACTATCCAAACATTCATAATATGAGAGTAATTGCCTCTGGGGAGGGAGCCGGGGGCCAGGGTTGGAAGAGAGAATTTCTTTTCCCATTATACCCTTTTGTTCCCATTATGCCCTTCTGTTACCATTATACCTTTTTGTTCCATATGAATTTTCCCTCATGTGCATATATTATTTGCTTTTTCAAAAAATAAGATAGACGTACAAATGTGGGACAGATTTTAATCTTCCAGGAAATAATAAGTTAGTTTCTCGAACTTTCTATGCCACAAATATTTGTTTTAAAATACCTGATGTAAAACAGATAGTGACTTTTTCTTTTTCTCTTTGAAGAAGACTAAGCTTGGTTTTGGAGAAGTTAGTGAGTACTGAATTCCTGATGAATATGGTTCATATTTTGAACACTTAGTTGTCCGAGTATTGTCTTTATCTTTTTAAAATGAGTTTGCACAATCTATTTTTGAGGTGCACACTCTTCCTCTATGAATGCACGTCCTTTTTAAAGTGATGTGTCTGGGGTATGTCTAATGTAGAAGAACTTTGTAGAGATGAAAGTCACTTTTTTTTTTCTATTGGTCCAAGTCACAGACTTATATAAATGTGACTATTCCTGTTTCTTTATTAGAATCTCCTAATCTGTTTTTAACTCACTTCCCCCTTGAAATGTAATTTAGTCACAGATAGCTCAGTGATGCTTGGCAACATCAAGTGAAAACACACACACACACACACACACTTGCCCTTATTATCAAGCCGTTTAATCAACTGGCCTTCACATTTCTCTGTTTGCTTTGATATTTCACCAAACGCAGAGCCATGGCTCCCAACCTTGTGTGAACCCAAGTGTTGAGACAAGTTACTTTAAGTGCTTTCAGCTGTCCCCACCTGGCCTTGGGTATTTCTTTTTTCTTTTTTAACCTTATCAGGATTTTGAACTTAATGTTTCTGCCTTCAGAGGTAACGATGTTACTCAAAACTCAAGAGGCATATATTTTTGAAACTTCAAATACATTTTTCTGACTTAAATTATGTAATTACTTGGTTCTTGTCAAGGTTCAAATCCTTATATACTTCCAGTGACTCATGAGGGATTTATTTTTAAAGATCTTTTTTTTTATGTTTTTAAACGTTTAATTTAAGAATACTTTCTTTTGGATTGTGTCTGAGCCTATTTTTCCCCCAAAAAGGAGGTCGAAATTGTGAGATAGAAAAGCATAGGAGCACACCAGCCCAGGGGCAAGGACTAGAGGGCAGGAGGAGACAGGAAAGCTGATAATAGGGAACCCAAGGTCGAGAAGGGAGAATGTTGACATGTTGTGAGATTGTTAACCAATGTCGTAAAACAATATGCATACTAACTGTTTAATGAGAAACTAGTTTGTTCTGTAAACCTTCATCTAAAGTACAATAAAAAAAAGAAAAATATATGGTGGACAGACTACTTTCTTTCTTTTCTACATATATATAAACATATGTATGTCTATGAATGTGTATATGTTTATATACCAAGAACCGGTCGCTTCGATTCTAACACATAGCGACCCTGTAGGACAGAGTAGAACTGCCCTATAGGGTTTCCAAGGAGCGACTGGTGGATTCGAACTGCCAACCTTTTGGTTAGCAGCCAAGCTCTTAACCACTGTGCCACCAGGGCACCTATGTTTATATATATATATATATATATATATACACGTATTTACAAACATTTTTATGTATGTATGCATGTATGTATATAAGTGTCTGCCATCAAAACTATACTGATTCAACTTTTTGTCTCCCCACTATCCATTGGCCTTAAGCCTTGAGTTTACAGTCTTAAGTTTAAAAAGATCAATCAATTATGGGTTTATTCCATTAATATGTAGCTCTTGCAGCTAAAAATGGACAAGATCATGGACTAGTCAGAGTTTACTTCTGATGCCTTCCTGATATCCCCACCCCATCCTTCAGCTAGCACCTAGAGCTGCACTTACCACCATATGGGGCCCTGAACCACCACCACTCTTTCTCTCAACTCTCAGCCCAGCCTGTAAATCTCTAGTCAATCCTCATTTTCGTTGCAAGTACATCATGGTGACTCTGTCTTTAAGGGATCTACTTATAGAAATACTTACTCTGGGGCACTACTTTTGTATTAAAGTGGCTGATTACTATAGATACAGATAATGAGGATATGTGAGAACAGGTGCGGATTCTTCCCAGGGCACCTGCATGTGTGTGTGTGTGTGCATGTACATACGTATATGCGTGTGTGTTTGGAGGAAGCATTAAAGTTAACAAAATAGCTATGTATGTAGGAGAGAGATGACATTCTGAGTGTTGTAGAAAAGTTAGCTAAAAGTGGATGAAGGGGAACAAATTATTCAAGTTCAGAAACTTTCTGGTTGAAGGACACATTAGAGGAACCACGCTGGAGTATCAATACATTGCAGGAAGAACCATTTTAGTTCATGGCTATAACTGGGGACTTGACCCAGGAAGGAAGTGATGCGAGAGACAGTCCCTAGCTGATCTTGGAGGTCAAGCGAGGGATCCTGACAAAAAGCCAGTCTTACGATTTAATCTAGACTTCCTGTGTACTTACAGTTTTCCTAACGACATAGTTTACACTCTACGGTTGTTCACAACTTAGTGATCAAGTTTTACAAGGAAGGAGACATTGCGGAGATTTCTGGTTAAAGCTAAGTGGCTTCAGAAGGAGGGTGACATGTCCTCCCCTTTGCCCTCAGTTCTGGAAGCTTCTTGCTCACATATTCAACCCTCTTTATTATCAAACCACAGTTTAAGTTCTACACCGTTTTATAGATCAATACTTGTCTTTTCTTCTCACAGATTCCAAAATAAATGTATACTGTGGAATTCACATGAGTTGAGTAAACCAAAAGTGCTTGTATAATGTACGTATGTGTACCCAACTAAGTGATGATACCAGTATACTAAATAAGATGCTTGCTTTTCAGAGTGGAAAGAAGTATATTGGTCTGTGTGGAGGAAGAGATTGTTCTGTTTGCCAGTGCTTTCCTGAAAAAGGGTCTCGGGTAAGTGATATAAAAATTGACATGGATAACATAACTGAATTCTGAACCATTGCAAATATCTAGCATTAAGTAGTCCCAGATTCTTAACAGGTTTCAGGAGTTGTCATTGTTAGGTGCTGTTAAGTCAGTTCTGGCTCATAGCGCCCCATGCGACGGCGTAGAACTTCTCCATAGGGTTTTCTAGGCTGTGATTTTTATGGGAGCAGATCGCCAGGTTTTTTCTCCCAGGAGCCACTGGGTGGGTTCAAACCACCAACGTTTTGGTTAGCAGCGAAGGGCTTAACCATCGTGCCACCACGGTTCCTTGTTTTGGTGTTAGGGAATGTTCATGTTAGGAGGTCCTGGATGGTGCTAACGGTTAATCTGTCAACTACTAGCTGAAAGGTTGGTGGTTAGAACCCACCCAGTGGAGCCTCAGAAGACAGGCCTGGCAATCTGGTCCAGAAAGGTCCAAGCCTCGAAAACCCTCTGGAGTGGTTCTACTCTGCACAGGAGTCGAAATCGACTCCACAGTAAAGAACAACAGCAGCAACAAATGTCTATGTCTTTTACAATCTAAGTTCCTTACATTTTGATAGACATTCCCAGTTCGACTGTGGGTCAGGCTTAGAAGACAGCCTGGGAAGCAGAGCGTCCCCTTGTTCATGTGACACCAGTCTTGTGAATTACCTTATGAAGAACAGATTCTGGTGTTAAATGGTGTATCCTGGGTCGCCACCTTGAAGATTCATGCTTCATATCGCCATTTTAAAGGCTCTGAGAAGTACAGCAGTAAGTGAAAAAACCTGCTTCACTCAGTTTAATGTAGTCTTTCCCAGATATTTAATTACAAGACCGGTGTCTTGGATAATGTCTGTTAAAATCCTGTGGAACAGGGTTCTGTAATCAAAGCAATAGCTACATTTATGGCATGCTTATTACGTGCAAACCACGCTCTTGATGACTACTGGATCCTCTCATCTGCAAAGCTCAGGAACCCTCTTGGTTGCTGTGAGTCCAGTCTCTTGAACATTTACGGCCAAAAAAAAACCAAAACTCAACTGCTGTCAAGTCGATTCCGACTCATAGCGACCCCACAGGATATCCAAGGCTGTAAATCTACACGGAAGCCGACTGCCACATCTTTCTCCTGAGGAGCCACTGGTGGTTTCATACCTCCGACCTTTTGGTTAGCAGAGGATCGCTTCAATCACTGGGCCATCAGGTCTCCTTCATTTACAGCCATCTCTCTTATATTCTGACGACAGCAGCAGGCAGCCCATTAACTCATTTGTGCTGGAGAATTAGATCAAATGATTTTTTTTTTAATTAAAAATACTCCCACAATCTTACAAGACAGGAGGGTACTGCAGCAGCTTTGGACAACTTTTGAGCCAGATGGATGATTCTTCAGAAATTTGTCCAGATCAATCCTACTCGGCTGAAGCATAACACCCACAAACTAAACTTCGGTGAAGGCAGTCTCTAAGGACTCAAAACATCACCTTCCTGAGAGAACCAAAACCAAACCAAACCTGTTGCTGTTGAGTTGATTCTGACTTGTAGCAGTCCTATAGGACAGAGTAGAACTGCCCCACAGGGCTTCCAAGGAGTGGCTGGTGGATTCGAATTGCCAATCTTTTGGTTTGCAGCTGAGCTCTTAACCACCGTGCCACCAGGGCTCCTTCTGAGAGAGGAGACCACATATTTCTCCCTGGGCATTGCTTTGTCTTCACCCAGTCCGAGTGTAATGTGTAGGGGGTTTCTTTGTCAACCTATTTTACTGGAAGAAGCTACGTTATTTAGCTTTAAGTTACGGCAAACCTCCTTCTATTTAAATTTTTCTTCTTCTTTTTCAATATTTCAGAAATTGCGATGATCAGAATTTATCTTGAATCCTTTCAAACCACAGTTGTTGCATGTCGTTGGGTCAATTCCTACTGACAGTGACACAATAGGACAGAGTAGAACTGCCTCATAGGGTTTCCTAGGCTGTAATCTTTACGGAAACAGACTACCATGTCTTTCTCCTGCAGAGCGGGTGGGTTTGAACTGCCAACCTTTTGGTTAGCAGCTGAGCTCTTAACCACTACAGCACCAGCGCTCCTTGGAAACAAGTCAGGATACTAAAAGTTAGCAACCTAGGAGTTGCTTTAGCCTTTCCCATGTAAATGTACAAATTATTTAGAAAAATAGCTTGGCTTCTGTGTGAGAACTGAGAGGAGGATGCTATTGGCATCTAGGTGTAGAGACCAGGAATGCTGCTCAGCATCTTATGATGCACAGGATAGCCCCCACCATGAAGAATCATCCATCCCGAAATGCCCATAGGGCCAAGGTTGAGAAAGCCTACTTTCATCCTACAGTGGCTCTGTGAAGCAGATATCATTATTTCCATCAGTCAATACAAAAAACCCCCCCAAAAAACCCAAACCCGTTGCCGTCAAGTTGATTCCGACTCATAGCGACCCTATAGGACAGAACAGAACTGCCCCATAGAGTTTCCAAGGAGCGGCGGGTGGATTCGAACTGCTGACCTTTTGATGAGCAGCCTAACACCTAACCACAGCATCTCCAGGGCTCCCAATCAATACAAGAAACCTGAATTTCTCAGAGTTTTGAATAACTTGCTAGTATGTGGAAGAGGCAGGATTCTCACCCAGGTATCTGCATCCCAACCTTTAGCTTCATGATCATGGATGATTCAAACACCCAAGTTATGGGTCCTAACTTGGTGATCTTGGGCGGGCCCTTTAACCTGCCCAAGCCGTGGTTGCCTCATAGGTACACCCTCGGTCCTTTCCCTTCTATTTCACTGGACTGCTAAACACTGAAATGCGATTGTACGTGTGTAAAAGCACTTTGTGCCCTCTAAGGCAGCCTGCAGTGCCATGTGTCATTAAGGCTTGTGGTGATGGCATGCCCTGCTGTGTCTGTGTCTCCGTTTCTGGGTGGTCAGGGTCAAGGATAGCTGTGTACAGAACACCAGTCAACCTTTGCCCTTCTTGAGACAGATGGGTTCCCCATGTTGGTAACTTTTTCCAGCCAGGAATACAGAGGACGTAGGCTTGGGAGGTGGATACTCTCAAGTCTTCAGCAGCCAGCCCACTTGAATACTTTCTCTTGAGTTGCAGTGACATCTCAAGGTGGACGATATAAATAGAAGATATAGAATCCCGGAGGGTTGAAGGATCTCCATGAGGCTGCATTGCCCATTAGTGGCAAAGCCAGGCATTCCTTAGAAGGAGATTATTCTTCTCCTATGGGTTAATGCTTGAGTGAGTAGTTTGTTCAAGCCTAAATTAAAACAGCTGTATAAAGTGATTGGAGAGAAGCAAGGCTGGCCCTCTGCCTTGGAATGACTTGAGTAGGGTTTTAACTAAGGAGGGAGCTAGGGGTTGAGTTAGATTTGGGACATATATAAGGAAGGAACCTTTAATGCCTGTAGGTAAAGTTCCGTCTTATGAATGTACCATTGGAGGCCCACAGTCTAGCCTTGACTTATTTTTTCATTTATAATCACTTACTCCTCTTGGCACTCTCCAGCTCCATCAGTTGGACAGCTCACTCTTCCTTGAATATAATGTGAGTATTTCCACTTCTCTACCCTTTTCAATCACCTCATATGCATGTGAAAGATGGCCAGTGAAAAAGGAAGACAGAATTGCTGAATTTGAACTGTGGTGTTGGTGAAGAACATTAAATACACCACAGACTACCAGTCTGAGAAGAAACACAGTCAGTATGCACCTTAGAAGCGAGGATGGCAAGACTTCAGCTCGCTTACTTTGGACAAGTCATCGGGAAAGACTAATTGCTAGAAAGGACATCATGTTTGGTAAAGTAGAGGGTCAGTGAGAACAAGGGAAGCCTTCAGTGAGATGGAGTGGCATAGTGGCTTCAACAATGGACTAAACATATGGACAATCATGAAGATGGCACAGGATCAGGCAGCATTTCATTCTGCTGTATATAAGGTTGCCATGAGTCAGAGCTGACTCATTTCACGTATAAGAGCTATTGGATTGACTTCCAAAATATTTTGTGATTATGTCCTAACGTTTCTCCAGACCCTCACTTTAAGGCTGTGGATGAGGTAGCATTGGACAGGATTTTAAATTATTCCTTTTTAGTTTCAAGGGAGGAAGCTCTATGTTTTGGATGGTTGTCTCCTTGCAGGGAATATTACACATCCTTGTGGACAAGGGGAGCCCTGGTTGCACAGTGGTTCAGAGCCCAGCTGTTAACCGAAAGGTTGGCGGTTCAAATCCACAAGCTGCTTCTTGGAAACCCTATGGGGCAGTTCTACTCTGTCCTATAGGGTTGTTGTGAGTCAGAATTGACTTGACAGCAACGGATTTAGTTTTGGTTTTGGCTGTGGACAAGGATGGTGTCTTTTATAAGTTCTGCTTTAGTAACTAGTATGATAATAAAGACACTTTCTATAGTTTTTTCCAGAATAAAATATGCCCATATTGTTTTCCATTCAAGGGAGTCAAGCAGCTGTTAAACCAGCAAAACTTTGGGGTTTGGTGGTTTTGCCTACAAGGAGCTCAAGTGACTTGAAACTCAAGAGCTGTTTATTTTTTTTGATTAGAAAATAGAAATCTGACATTAGAGAGTCAGATTTCCTTTGGAGATTTTAACTCACTAAAAAATATGCAAATGTTTTCTCTACAACCTCATTCACTTGCCCCCTACACACCGAAGAGCCAGCATTCCGCTATAAAAATGGAATTTACTTGGGAAACTAATTATTGTCAACATTTTTCTTATCATTATCTATCACTCACACAGCTGTGTTTTAGCATACTGTATGACTACAGCCTGATAAATGAGTCAGAGTGATTATTTTTATGTCACAAAGTCCATGTGAATCAATTATGATATATTTTGATGTAAGCAAGTTCCAGTGACAGCTGGGAAGTTGGCAAAGTTGCTCTATCAATAATAACCCCTTAGCTTTTTCTGCTCTCTTGGTTTTCTTGTCACTTCCTTCCTTCCAAGAACCAATTTTCTGG